GGAAGATTGAAAGTTTTTCATCATTGAGGGGCTAGAGTTAGTGGGCCACGTGTGCGCTTAGATGTAGGATGGCAGAGGTAGCAGTTGCAATTCACGTCCCCGAGGTTGAAAAGGTGATGATAGCCCATGATTTTGGTGGTTCCCGAGAAAATCGCCATGATGAAAGTGACGTCAGAAATGTGCATCAAGGTGGCGGAACAATAGCTTGCGTGTTCCTCTCTATTTTTTCTTGCTTCTCTTTCTTCCCTTTCACCTTCCCAGACTTGCATTGGTTGAAAGGATATTAGACGACATGTATGAGGACAAGCGGCATCGAAGGTCAGACGCTGTCAAAAAATGTGTTTTTCCACATCTGAAGTCGAAAAGACATTTTTGGGGGGCAATTTGTTAGCTTCTAATTTCGACGCCCCGTTTAGAAGAAAGGAATTCAAGATAAAAGGCCAAGGGTAAGTTGAGAACGAAAGATTGGTCGAAAGATGTAAAGCAGCCAAAAGAAGAAGTCAAAAAACTCACCCAGAAGCTAGGAGTTCGACCGTTTGCTGTTATAGATGGTTTGTCGAAGGATTTGAAATTCAAAAGTTGAAGGGAACGGTTTTGTTTGCCAAATACTTAAAGAAGACACATGGCACCTTATGAGCAGTAGATCCATGCATTTGTGACAAGTGTCGAGAAGAGGTGATGTTGGGGGTTATAAGAAGTTATTTTTTACTACTATAAATAGGATGTCTTAGACATAACCAAAGGGTGTTGTAATTTACTATTGTACAAATTACTCTTAGAATTACTCCAAGTATCTGAGCGTAGAGAAAGCAAGTATTATAGAGAATGTATGTGATGTAAACACACCATCTTTTACCTTAATGAAATTTACTTTATTTTGCTTTAAACTTTACAAAGTCTTTTATTGTCTTTGCACCTTTCTTCCTTACTTTCTTTCCCTTCTTTTTCCTATGCAATTCCTTTCTCTTTGCCCTTAACCCAATTTCTCCTCTCTAAACAAACTTCTTTCTTTCTTTTATTGAAAGCTTTATTTTATCTTTTAAGTTATTCCGTAGTCGAATAGATGTTTCTTTAAGATTCTTTCACCCTAATACTGTTCGAGTATGAAACTTGGATAGATTTTCAAAACAAGAGCCTTTAGCACATGTCCTAGGATCAATCTGATCGACCCTGTGAGTCACCAAAGTTAGATTTGGAAGATCAGCAGTTGTTTTCCGATTTTCAAGGGAAACACTTCCTCACTAGCTTTTCTTCAGACATCTTTTCTCCCATAGCTCCTGAGGTGTTTGCAAGTTCAAGGACATTCATGTAGAACTCATGAATTGTTTCCTCCTCCTTCATCTTTAGAATTTCAAACTTGGTTATCAACATTTGAAGTCTTGACATCTTGACTTTAGAGGTTCCCTTATGAGTTGTTTTGAGAGTATCCCACACTTCTTTAGCCAGCTCACAATGATGCACCGGTCTGAAGATATTCTTGTCTATACCATTGAATAATGCATTCAAAACTTTAGAATTTCTAAGAGCCACGGCTTCTTGCTCTTTGGTCCATTCTTCTTCAGGTATAAGCACATATAGTCCATCTTTATCAGTCTTCACTGGATGTGCCCAGCCTGAGTTTGCAGCTCTCCATGCCTTGCTGTCTAAAGACTTTAAGAAGGAAATCATCCTAGGTTTCCAATAGTCATAATTAGAGCAATCCAGAATTGGTGGTCTATTCGTGAATCCTATGTCTTTATCCATAGTACCAGAATTTATCTTCCCTAGATCTCACCCAGAAATAACAGGCAGGGTGCCTGCTCTGATGCCAATTGAAATTCTGGCTAGCACGCGATGGATGTTATTACGGATGTTATAACATCCACTGTAACACAGACTATTGGAATAATTAAAAAGCTGTATAGAGAAAGCAGTAAATCACACCAGTAATTGTTCACCCAGTTCAGTGTCAACAACACTTACATCTGAGGGCTACCAAGCCAGGGAGGAAATTCACTATCAGCAGAATTAATTCAGAGTCAAACAACTCAGTTTGCACTCCTCACTTAAAACCTACCCAATGACACTTCTGCCTAGAGACACTCTAGACCTGAGTATACCCACTCACTCCCCCTCAATCACACCACAGTGATATTAATTCAATTACATAAAATTGTGAAGATACATTTCAACCACACACATTGATCTTGCTTCAAAGCTTTGATCAGGAATCACACACTCTTGCTTAACAGCTTTGAGTGAGACACAGCTTAGAACCTACCTAACCAATGCAGCATACAATTGTTTGGTAAACAAGTATTCCTAAGACACAATTCACACGTGAAGACCAAGCTTCTTCACTCACAAGGACTCTTAATATGCACTCTCTAATCTTCTGTTAAGAGCTGCGTTTTTAGGATTGCTCCTCCGTTCATTTATAGCAGCAGTCAGTCCTTGGGCATGGGTGTATAAATTAGGTTTATCCATAACAAAACCTTTCTTCAATAATTTGCGCACTTGCCATTTAATTCAGGAGCATTTGTTTCGCTTTAGGGCTTCTAAAATGTCTCTTGTCTTTCAACTTGAGCTTCTAACAAGTTTCCTGATTTCTAGCTACCAGAAAACAAATCTGCTCGCTGGATGTCATACGATCAGTGTCATGACATTCAGTATGACATTCAGCTTTACTTACTCATAGGTTTCCTTGCATAACACTCTTCGTGTATGTCCTAACATCAGTTATGATATTTACTCATACATCAATGTTTTGCCATAAAATGCAGTCAATTAAAAGCACTTACATGAATTGTTCAATTCATTTTAGGTGCTTTGAGTTAATGATATGTTTAGTGCTTTAATCCACCAAGATGAGTGGATGAACTTAAAGATGGAATGATCTTGAACTTGTAATTCAATTTGGCATTCCCTCTCCTCTTCTCTTTTTCTTTTGATCGATGAATATCTTCGATATCGTTTGAACTTATTTCAAGTTCTTGATGAAGATGAGATCATTACCCATTTTCTTTTCATGCGGTATTTCTTTCGGAGAGTGATCTACATATCACATCTCTAGCATGCATTAGCACTAACATTGTATTGACCGACCTCAGATAGTTGTGGTTTATACATAAACCCGATTACGACTGCTTAACATAGCGCTACATTGTCCCGTAATCGGAAAGTGATTATTCGTTACTCAAACCTATGCTTGAAAGTCCAAGCATGATTGACTACTTGTCTTAAAGTCCATCACCTATGAAGCTTGTTGTTAGGAGATTTTATCAATCCTCTAATGAGCCTTCATTAAACTTGGTCTAAGTGCAAGAGTTAATTATCGTTGATCATTCGCTATAACGACTAATCACTAACTCACTAACCATATCATTGTACTAACTTTGTTTATGTTTCCTTCTTGCTCCCTATCTTTCTTTTATCTTTATGCTTATCATCTCATATCATATTTTCGCTCATGCTTCCGTTATTTTTCCTTTGTCCATTGGACACTTGTTTATGCTTCCGCCTCTTTTCTTTTGTCCACTTGGACCATATCTTGTTCAAAGCTAAAAGACTTGGTGCTCTTAACTCTGTGGCTATGCTCTTGGACTATTCTTGGACCTTTGGACTTAGAATTAGGTCTTTTTCCCTTTGCTTGGAGTATTATGGATATTTGGCTTTATTTGGCTTGTTCATTTGCTTATGCTCAAGATGGATGGAATTCTTTTGGCTTGCTATGGAGTATGCTACAAGTTGGTTAGATCCTTCTTATCTCTAGCTTTTATTTTTCTCTCTAGGGTAGTCGCCTCATCTCCTCCTTTTCTTCAATTTTCAAAACCTTCTCCCTTTTTTAAAACCTTCTTGCTTTCAAACTTCAAACCGCTTTCACAACAAAACCTTGACTTTTGTCGAGTGTCTTTTTATCAAACTTCTTTTTCTTCAATAAATGTCAATCAATGCTAACCATACTTTGACTCTTTTCGAAAAGACATAAAAAACATTCAAACTCATCCAAGACTTTTGTGCCTTATGCACTTTCTTTCAAAAACTTTTCCATAAGTCTAAACATGAGTCATCTCTTTAAGCGAAATTATTCGCTTGAAAATGGCGACTTGTCTTTTCACTTAAAATCAACCATAACAAACCTATTTTGTTATTTATACCACGAACTACGGGATTTTAGTCTTATATTGCACTTTGTGGGTACGTAGGCACGAGGCGACAAGTCTTCCAAACACAAAAAAAATGATTTAGACCTTTTCTAGATTTTTGTGTTTGGATGTATAATTTCGCCTTCATTTAGACCTTAAGCGAAATTATACACAAAAACAAGTTACAAGTCTCTCATGCATTAAAAATGATTTAGAAAAGGTTTCATACAAAAAAAAAAAAAAAAAAAAGTCTCATGCCTACGTACAAGTCTCATACATAAAAAAAAGTCTTAGAAAATGTCTCACACAAACCTTTTTTTTTTTATGTATGAAACCTTTTCTAAATCATTTTTAATGCATGAGACCTTTTCTAAACCTTTTCCCATATATATAATTTAAAATAATAAAATTAAATCTAAATCGTCGGATTTAAACCAAACGGCTTACAATACTTGATGGCATGACTGCATCGATTTTTTACTAGAGTCAATCATGATCCCAGATTTGGAGAGTGATTAACGAGAAAGTAAGGTAGGTTTTGGTCTTGCTCATATTCCTATATATGGCTATTTTTCTTAATCATTTCAATCCCACCATGCTTAATTTAATGCAAGAAATCTTCAGGAAAATGTTAAAAATGCTCATGGTGATAACTGCAACTCCTTATTTCTCTCTATTTACTTCATTATTATTCAAAGTTAAGAGACACTTTGCATACAAGCAATGAGAAAACAGATTATACAAACTCAACTGATAGCATAACAGATTATACAAACTCAACTGATAGCATAACAGATTATACTCTGACCCTTCCTCCACCTATAATATATATAGTCTACATTCTGGTGACTAGGGTTCCACACAGAGTAACATCATTCAAGAAACGCATCCTTTGTTCTTCAAACTCTCTACAGCATCCTTGATAATTTGCTCCATTGGAATGAATTCTAAACCCAAATCCATGAGCTTCTTTGATCCATCCTTTGCTCTCAACAATCCAGGTTGCATATCTCGTTTTATCCTATAAATATAAAGTAAAATTACACACAATATGAGCAAAATTTGTGTCACATCAACCTTATTCATGGGCGAATGTAAAAGAAATGTTCAACTTCAAATCCAACTCTATCTTGCAAATAACTTTCTCTTTTTGCATGTTTGAGAAGGAGGCGAATGATGTACAATATGTTCTAATTCCATTGCAGCAAAAAAATAGTAAACAGTCATTTAGATATTTGGAAGTGTGAGGCACATTGCCAATATAGCCCCTCAATTTTATTGAAATTACAAAAACATTCATAAATGTATCTTTTGTTAGTAACTTTATGAACCAAAATAACTAATGGAATACATATTCGATGATCAAACTAACTAATGATAGACACAATTGTAGACCAAACAGGCTAATGAAAGACACATTTATATATGTTTTTGTAACTTTGATTCACTCAAGAGTTATTGTGACACGCCTCACAATAACTAGTTCAAGAACCAAGGACCACGATTATCACTCATTAATTGCAAGTATATTATGGCTTACTTACCGAGGCACATTATATTCAGGATAAAGTTCAGCAACTTTTGCCGCAAAGTCACCGTAGTGAGAGATAGCTTCAACACACAAATGTCTGCCAGTAGCTTCCTTGTTCTCATATACCAAAATGTGTGCCAATGCTACATCTTTGAAGTGGACCAATCCCATAAAAAAATCTTCATATGTTTCGGTACAACCTTTAGCAAAACAAAGAGAAATCAGAGTTCTTAGTAACACCCTAAAAAATCCCATATAGGAATACAAGATTCTTGATTTAAACAAGTTCAAGATTCTTAATCACAAGAAAACCTTTGTTTGTTCATATATACATGGAAAAAGTAAAACAAGAGAGGCTAAAAAGGATGATGAAAATGTTTATAACTTATAATATAAGCTGTTCCTTGAAAAAATTCATACTTATTGCAAGATTCTTTTGATATTTTTTTTTTGTTTCTCGAGAAGTTTATCAAAATAGACTATGTTACCTTCAAGAAGTCGAACAAGCATGAGCATGCTTGCGTTAATCCTTGGTGGAATAACAGGGCCCATCACAGTACCAGGATTCACCACAACAACATCCAAACCATTTTCTTTGGAAAAATCCCAAGCAGCTTTCTCTGCCAGTGTCTTGGACAAAGGATACCACAACTGTTCCGCAACATTTCAGAACGGACGAAGACAATGTCACACAGACAATTAGTATTCGGGAAAATTCACACCTACTTAAGATCTTAGAAGGAACAAACACACCACAAATGAAACAATATGAACACAAAAGAACATATGTGATTCGGCATTATCTCAAAGAAAAGCCTCAACAATCGCATCACTATCTCAAATAAGATTACAACAATAGACATAGCAACTTAACCCAAATTGTGTATCGCTCTACAAACTCAAGTACCTTCACCATAACTTACAAGAAGTGATCTCACATGCTCTTCTCTTGTTTTTGGATTAAGATGTTTCAACACTGCACAAAACCCATATTCATAGAAGGGCAGAGTAGCTTTATTCATGAAAGTGATATATTAGTAGGTATATCTTACATTTCCAAAAAGCTTCACTTAATGAGAGTTTTCAAGATTTTAGATATATCTTTCCAACTCTTCAAATATATCATGAATTTTCACCACTTACATTAATACTATTGTTTGGAACTCTAATTGATTCCCCCACAATTAGATCTCTATTTTTCAAAAGAAATAAAATACTCCATTAATAAAGGATCAAGTCGATTCTCTGCTCTCTCTCTCTGGATATCCTGAAATCAATACTGGACGGTCTGTCCGGATTTCTAGCTCGGTATTTTATAAAAGAAAAACATAATCAAAATACGCATATTAGCAAACTTTCAGACACTAATCCAAAAGTCACTAATGTGCCAATTGCGTGAATGCAGATATATCTAAATGTAGGGAAGCCATTTTCATTACTATTATGGGCTGGCCAAAATAGTCTCACATTGCTTGGGAATCAAGGCTAAAGATAGTTTACATACACCCAACGAGACGCCTTTTCTAAAAAAACAAAGCTATGATGATTCTCACACCCAAATCAGGATGCAGTGGCGCAGACTTGAGGTTCACTGAAACATTGAGCCATGGCGCATTTTCTAAAGAAAAAAAAGGCGTGAGAGTATCCTCAAAAAAACAAACAAGAAAAAAAAAATGAAAACAGTGAGGAAACCTCTTTATTTCTGCAGTATTCAATATCAGACCAACAATCCTCTCTCTTGATAACATCAGAAGGCCAATCAGGACTAGGAGTAACCGCAGAGATAGACGACGTGATAACCACGCGCTTCACCCCTGCTTCTTTAGCCGCAGTAAGCACATTCACCGTCCCTCTAATTGCAGGATCTAGAAGCTCCTTCTACAAAAACAAACCCAACAACTTCAAAACCAAAACTTTAAAAGTTCAAATTCTTAAAGAGATAATAATACCTGAGGATCATGAACTTTATCAACAATGCAAGGCGAAGCAAGGTGAAAAACACCATCGCAACCGCGTACAGCGGCGAGGATCGTATCGTAGTTGAGAAGGTCGATTTGGAAGAGACGGAGATTGGTTTGCGCACCTTCGAGAGCTTCTAGATGCTTAGTTTCGTTCTCATCGTCTGTGATTTTGAGAAGAAAGGGGAAATGAGTTAGAGGTTTGAAATGTGTTAAATTGAAGTGTGATTGAAGGAGAAAGAGTGTGTGAAAGGTAGCTGAGATTTTGGACGGTGGCGTGAACGGTGTAGCCGCGGTGAAGGAGGAGATGGACGAGCCATGAACCGATGCATCCACTGCCGCCGGTGACGCAAACTAGCTTTGACATGTCAGTGTAGAGAAGTGTAGTCGAAATGGAACACTGTTGCCTTTGCTAATGCCAAATCCTGCCGCATGTGTTAAAAGTTACTAACAGTGATGTTTTAGCTTCTATTTTGAAAAAAACAAAAAAAACAAAAAAAAAAAAAATAAAAAAAAAAATAAAAAAAAAACTTAAATGCACTTTGCATTAGAATTAATCCAAACTTTGAAAAATTCTGAATCAATCTTAATGAACAAGACTCAATCAACTGATCAAAATTAATTGTTCTTCACTTTTCACTCAAGTGAAACAATCACATCTTGATTACAAGAATGGTTCTGCACAACAATTATTAATGGAAAAAAAAATTAAATAAGAAAGAAGATTAGAGTTTGACAAAATAGGGGAAGAGGAGAATGATTTCTGCAGATTAACTCTATGCTCTAAAACTGAGAAAAACTGCATTTTTTGTTGTGTGTTACAATATTATTTTATACTTTTTTTACTCAAAATAAGGGTTACTCCCTCTATTTATAATTGAGCTACCTTACTCCCTAAGGTAAAACTCAAAAACACAAAAGTCCAAAATTTATATTTTGCTTTAAGTCGAAATCTTGTGTCAAGCAACATGTTTCGACATCTAACACAACTCGACACACACTAGGCTAATTTCGACACATCCTTATTTTTGTCGAGCCACACTTGCTTCGACACAAGGAATTACAATCTCAACACACTGCCTAATTCATTGTGTCTAAGCTATCTATATTCATCATAAATCTTAACTTCTTGAACACTTCGACTTGCACTTCTTTCGCCATGATATCTGCAATCTGATTCTCAATTCAACAGTGTTCCAAGTTCATCTTCCCTTCTTCTATCTGCTTTCAAAGATAATAGAACCTCATTTTGATGTGCTTATTTCGCTCATGTGCTATCGGATTCTTTGTCAGATTGATAGTTGACATTTGTCGATCTTCATGGTAATTGATCCATGACTTTTCGATGTAATATCTTCGACCAGGTTCACCATCCACTTTGCTTGACATGCACAAAGAGAAGCAGTTATGTATTCTACTTCGCACGACGACAATATCACTACTGACTCCTTTCTCGAACTCCAAACAACTGGTGCACCACCTAGCATAAACACATAGCACGTTATGGACTTTCTATCCTCAGCATCACTACACCAACTTGAGTTGGTGTATCCCACTAACTTGCATTATTTTTCTTTATCAGCTGCAAGAAACGAAATGCCATAGTCGAGAGTTCATTTTAGATACCTTAGTATCCTCTTCGTCGTTACTAGGTGTGATACATTTGACTTCAACATGAATCTACTCACCATACTTACACTGTATGCTAGATCAGGCCTTGTATGGCAAAGGTATCTTAATGACCCAATAAGTATTCTGTACCAAGTTGGGTCGACATCATTTTCATATGATTCTTTTGACAGTTGCATTTTGGGTTCAACTAGAGTCGAAGTTGGGTTACAATCTTGCATCTCAAATCTCTTGAGTATTTCGACTGCATATTTTCTTTGGTGCATCACCAAACCTCTAACACTCTTATAGAACTCGATACCAAGAAAATATGTGAGATTTTCCAAGTCTGACATTTCAAACTCCTTACTTAGGTCATGTTTGAAATTTTCGATCTCCTTCTTACAACTTCCTGTTATCAACAAATCATCGACATAGAGACATAGCGTCGATGTGGTTTTCGAGGTCGCCCCAACATGTGAACTTTTAATTTATCCTAAAAAAGAGGAAAGCGGAAAAATCTAAATAAACTCGTGAGTGTGCAATATAAAATAATGCAATGAGAGATTGAAAGTTCGGGGTTGGTTATGCTAAGGGAAGGTACTAGCACCATAAGTATCTATAGTATCCTATAGAAACCTCTTGTGTATATTTATGTTACTATTAATTAAGTCATCTGTTGTACATTGGAGATTTGTTGACTGTTTTGAGTGAGTGATAAGAGTGGAAAATGTTTTTGTTGTTTTTGTAGGGTATGTTGAAATAAACTAAGACAAAGGTGTAGGAACCTAAAGGTTTTACTTATTATTATGCTCGCTAAGATCTCACAATCTTATGCCTACGTATTCTCAAAAGGAAGTTGAGAAATCAGAGTGTTCGTAGTTCCATATACTAATGGATGGAATTGAGTTTGTTGGATTTGAGAGAAGAGAAAAGTTGTCATATTAAAGGAGATATCTCACCTATTCACCACAAACATTTTGAGAAAGAAGATAATAAGGGGAGAAGCTTTAAACTTGGATGTAGAAAATTCAAAGTAATGTCACATCTTCCTTTAAACGAGTATTTGCATAATAAGAGAAGGACTTGGACTTGGATATAGAATCAACAAGTGTGTCACTTGCATCACTTAAATAAAAGAAGTGTTTTTGTACCATAATAAGAGAAGAACCTTGACTTAGATATAGAATCAACAAGTGTGTCACTTACATAATAGAAGTGTGTCACTTCTATAGAGATGATTCATGCCTCATCTTTGTGGGAGAGTTTTGAATTTGAAACCAAAGGTTGGCTAGGGTTTGACTTGAAGTTTGAAGTTGAAGCCACAAAGGGCTGTGATTTGAGTTTTTTTTAAGGTTTGAAGCCACAAGGGGCTATGGTTTTGACCTTTGAATGAAGTTGAAAACTTCAAGGGGAATCCTATTGTTTTATTGAAGTTGACCTTACCCTATACTATTAGGAACTCCTTACCGTTTAGACTATTAACCTTTTCGTATGCAAATTTAAAATTCAATCAACATCGAGCATTTTTTTAAAATTCAAATCAACATACTTAACCATATTTAAACACAAATTTTAAATAAAGGATGAAAAGGGAGTTGGAATTGAGTCTTCGATTCCTCTTCTCAATTGTTTGGACCCGAGGATCCTTTCTTAAGCTCGAACAATTGTATTCTAATCCGATAAACGAAGTTAAATCCATTTTCCTAAACACTTAGATGAAAAAGAGAGTGAGTCAAGTCTTTGATTCATTCTCCCAATTACTTGGGCCCGAGAAGTCTTTCTTAAGCCTCGAGTAATTGTCATCTGAACTAATTTACTCTAATTATATCAAAGTTATTTCATAATACAATATGAAAAGAGAGAGTCGAGTCTTTGACTCATTCTAATTACTTGGGCCCGAGAAGCCTTTCTTACTTCAAGTAATCCTCGTTCGTTTAAAATACTCGAACCATCTTCCATCGTTCAATGTTTTTCCTACGCAACCTTTTTCTAGATGAAAACGAGAAAGAGTCAAGTCTTTGACTCACTCTCCCGATTACTTGGGCCTGATAAGCCTTTCTTAAGCTTCGAGTAATCGCCATCCAGTTATCTTACTCAAACCACATCCTATCCTTTCGCAATTAAGGTTGAAAAAGAGAGGGAGTCAAGTCTTTGACCCACTTTCCCTATTGCTTGGGCCCGAGAAGCCTTTCTTAAGCTTCAAGTAGTCATCACCTCTAGCTAAACATCTGATACGTCAAATCTTGTTTTCTCACCCCCATGCGACTAAAACCCTAAAATCTATTCAAATCTATTCTCTTCTCCAAACATAAACATCCATAACCATTAGTTCAATTTCTCGCCGTCGTGCGAACCGTAAAACTTTTTCATAAACGTAAGATATGGTGTCTTGAGAACGACGCAAAATATTGCTTCATCCATAACCTACTTGAGTCGATATCATTGGTGTGTTTCCCATGAATGTTGATATATGGAAATCCATTCAAAGTGATGCAAGCGTCCCCTCCTCACCCGTTTAGATAAAGCAATATTTTTTGTCGAATGTGACTAAGTATCTTTCGATAAAACCCAACCAATATCCATAGTCCGAACTACAGACGCTATGATTCTTCATTCTCTTCTGAGTGTAAGATACGTAGGCACGAGATCGATATGATCTTGGCGAGCACAATTCCGCAATTCCACAATTCCACAATTCCAAAATTCCACAACCTTCTATATTTTCTCCCATAGTCCCGTGAACTACGGGCGCTCTGATTCTTCACTTCTTTAAAGTGAAAATACGTAGGCACCAGGGCCCTAATCCTTGGCGAGCACTCTAATATAAAACCACCCATTTTCCCCTTAGCATTCTAAACTCTTTTACATTTATATTTTCACTTTATCCCTTTAGAAGAAAACAAATAAGCTAACCTAACATTTCTCATTAATCGAATCAAGAGGTTTCCATTGAGTACAACGGACGTGAGGAGTGCTAATACCTTCCCCTCATATAACCGACTCCCGAACCTAGAACTTGGTTGTGATGACCATGTTCTTCCCCTAAAGGTTTTCTCGATATTTTCCTTTCCCTCTTTAGGATAAATAAAGTTCGGTGGCGAATCTGTTTTTCGCGACCATTCGCGAAGGATCGTACTTTTTTGAGGTACGACAGCTGGCGACTCTGTTGGGGATTTATGCATTGCCCTATCCAAGAGAGAGTCAAGCCTAACTTGACTCGATTCGAAAGCGTTAGACTCGTTTGTTTGTGTTCCTCTTGTGTTGTTATTTCTTGGTTACCTGATTATTTTATTTACTTGTTTCTCTTTGTTATGTATCCTATCTGTATTCTTGTGACTATTGGGTTTCTCTGATTGTTGGAACTCTGTGAGATGACTCTACACCCGAGTTTGAGAAAAACTTAGGATTAGATTGGTGGTCGTGTAGTGGAATCCCTCGAGGAGCCTTTCTCATTGGGAGGATATGAGGACCCCTCTTAGAGTTGATTCCCTTGGAAATATTATTGTCGTGGTAAGCCTTCGTCATGGTAGTAATGTTTTCGAGCCTGAATTGATAACTCTAAGGACCTTTTCACCCATTTTCCGTGGTGGTTGGTAGTGTTGACTCGCGAGGATTAACACGAAAGCCCCAATCAGATGAGATCCCTTGAATGTATCATTATTCTGACAATGATATTTTCAACCTCGATCTATGACTTTGAGGTCCCTTTAGAAACCTTGGACTCGACGGTTGTGTAGTGGAGATTCAAGAGGAGTC